CAATATTTAGCTGACCATATAAGAGTTGTTTCGGTATCCCCTTCGAATCCATACGGCTCACATGACCGAGCCACCTCAGGTGTCTCAGCAAAAGTATGCAGTCCACTGCATACACTCCACTTTGTAGCAACACTTCCGTGTCCGCAACTCTGTCGCCCCAACCGATGCGCAAAATCCGTCGCAAACACTGTTGATGGAACCGCTCAAGATATCGCACATCCCGCCGGTACATCGTCCACGTTTCACTACCGTGTAGAAGAACGGACAACACCATGGATTTGTACATTATCAGCTTCGTGCCAATGGTAAGCTGATGGTTGTTCCACACTCGGTACTCAAGCTTCCCGAATGCTGCAGCTGCCTTCGAGACGCGGATACGGAGCTCACTGTGTAGCTGCTGGTCAGTCGACATCACACTCCCAAGGTAGCAGAAGCGGGAGGTGGTTTCCAATACTTCAGCACCAATGCTGATTCGCGGCAATATTGAAGATTGCACCTCCGGTGAAGGCTGAAGGAGACAGACAGTTATGCTTGTGTTGCTGGTGAGCCCGAATTCGGCCGCTGTCGAAGCCAGAGCTCTAGTCATGTGCTGCAACTCATCCGCGCTGTGTGAAAACAACGCACAGTCGTCAGCAAACAGCAACATACGGATAGTTGTCTCACAGACTAGAGTTCTCGTATCGAAACGACGGATGTTCCGCAACCCACAATCAATACAGTGCTTCACACAAACACCGGAAGCACAAGCGGCATCAAAAGCACAGGACAACATTGCATGAAGATATATATTAAATAGGGCAGGAGCTAAGACACAGCCTTGTTTCCCACCAGAGACAACTGCAAAGTCATCCGAGGTCTCTCCACTCAGCTACACCCTCGCCCGCATGCCACTGTGCGGACATTCAATTAGACTTACAAACTTACGCGGGCAACCAAACTTAGCCAACACCAGTCACAATGCCATCTTTGGCTCACTGGTTGAGCAGCGGACCGCTAAAATATATATATATATATATATATATATATATATATATATATATATATATATATATATATATAATCATGGCGCATCAATATAACACCAGTGTCCTAATGTCGCAGGAATATAGAGGTTGAACCACTCCAGAGCACCGGTGACATCGGACGGACTGTGAGAAGCGATAACGAAGTTGTTCAGCATTTGTAAACTAGGTAAACGTGTGAACGACTGAATGTGATGAGCATTTTTCTCAAGGTACAAATATACTTGAGATTGAGTTGACATCAGATCCAAAAATCTTGATTGAGAGACAGGACACAGTAGTTTGTGTTGGGACAAAGAAAAGAGTTGAGCAGCACATAGTCTAAATCACAGCATGGTGATCATTGAGCGGTATGAATGTGTCATAGGATAGGGTAACCAGGATTTTTTTGCACCGTGGGTTTCCGTATCGCCTTCATTGCATGCTCATCCGTCTTTCTCTCAGCCTGAAGGTCAAACTTATATTACGAATGCACCGTAGACAGTCCATTTATCGGATGTAGACCTAGTGCAGGAGGACTTATTCACGGCCCACGTGACATAGCGATTCGCTGTCATTGATATGCGTTTGCAACATCTACGGTTTTGCACAGCAGAAGACAAACTTTGAACATGTTCATAACAATTATTGAGAGCTGATCAGAGGACAAGAGGAGTTTGCCGTCAAAACTGACACCGTTCTTCCCTTTTGTGACGAATTCGTCGTAGCAGACGGCTTGATGTTCATAGGCAATCAACTACCAATTCCTGCAATTGTGCAGCTTGGCATGTTGGAGATAATAAAATAATAATAATGTGTCAGCTGAACGCCGTAACGGCGCTTTGCTGCCGCGCGAGCACCACCAGTCGCGCGCGGGCTGAGTATACCGCGAGGACGCCCACCCCTATGCGGATTCGAACCGGTGACCTTATGGTTGCAAAGCAAACGTGCAGACCACTCGGCCACCGGCCGACCATGTTGGAGATGGTCCATGGTGCACATCTGAGGATAAATAACTGCGTTGCATGAGCTAGAGAATTAACGTTTTGGCCTGGGATGACCAGTCATTCGGGATTGTATCAATCTTTGCAGCCTGTCGCATATATGAGGTTTTCAAATGAAGTGACCAATGGTGCTTCGAGGCGTCCCAGAAGGATCATAGAAAATGGTGGTGGTTGCTATGCTTGCGCCTGACGGAAGGGATTATCTGATCACGGTCGATTAATTCAGTGCTCGATGTCCTCTCTTCGGCTAGGGCTCATGCTGTGGTTGACAAGCTGTTCAGTCATTCTTCTCGATATAGAATCCCTAAGGAAGTGGTCCAGGACAGTTGCTGGCAGTTTACCGCCGAGGAATTCTAGGTGTTCAGTAAGAAGTGGGAACTTGGTCATCTTAATAACTCTTACTACAGCCATTAGAATGGGAAGACATGGTTGACAGTGAAAATTGTCAAGTGAGTATTATTCAATGCTAATGAGCCATATAATCTACTTTTGGAACGTAGAAACATTCAGTTTCCGGAAATGGATGTGAGCTCCGTTTAACATTTATTTAAACGCTGAGCGAGAACCTTGTTACCAACTTCCAAAACTATATTCCATCCAGCAATGCAACACCAGACGATGCTACATGGCCATCTGGAAAAATGGGACCCTTCATCAATAGCGGTATTACCATCGTGGCGAAGATGTATGGGTGCAATTGGCGCCTTGTGTCGAGAAGCGATACAAGAGAGTGGTTGTGAATATCCAAACGTGAGAAAGGTGTTATGAAGCCGGATGCATGTTAGAGGACACCCGCCAAGTGATACAACGTCGCGCGGAACTCAAGACCAGCAAGATATCACAGGCGTCGGTGATGAAAACAAAACGAGGATACGTAGCAGTTGAGTGTGCGGATTTACGTCGCTAACCAACTGCCAGAACTGGAAAATGGAAAGGTTGGAAGACAGCAGCTGGTCATCGTACGCCACGTGTACGGATAGGTGTTAACGCAGTAACGACATGCGCACCGGAAGTGAATCAGCGCAAACTGCGACATCGTCAGACGTGTGGTGAGAGCCATCGCATATCAGGTGTCCGGATAACCGAACGCCTGACATTGCGGCAACTGTGAGACCATCAATCCTTCAGAGAAGCTGCGATTATGTGATTTGTGACGTGCAAAACCGTTTACATAACGCGTCGTTTTGTGCTAACTTGACTTTTGATCGATATTCTACTCGACTTTTCGCGCCTACAGATGGCTCCGCCACATGTTCAGTTAAGTGACCTACAGTTAAGCGTCGGGTTGAATTTGACGCCATCGATCACTTTGGGTAAGCTCCAGCTGCCTTGCAAATCTTTGGTATGTGCTTTCTGGCTTCACAGCGCAAAGTACTGTTGCATGACTGGGCCGACTCGTAATCAGTTCTCACTTTCACCGAACAACCGCTCAAGTTACTTATGAGTGGAAGGATTTTTGTGAGTATTTTTGTTCGTCGCAATCAGCCGACAATTCAGATAAGTCAACTAGCTATCCGGAAAAGCACCAGACGGCCGTTTCGTCCTATTGGGGCTCATCAGTGGTGCGCATCCTTCGGTCCTCTGCGGAGGATCGAACCCATGACTGCTAGTGGCTCTTGCCAACTAGGCCGCAGCTTATGCAACTGCGCCATGGAGGACGGTATCCGACCATCACGAATTGTTAGCTAACTGCGATATAGCCCGACCCATCCTCCACTGCCATGCAGATGACAGCGGTTGGTCTTCCGGCGTCAGGACTTCCCGGTTACGGCAGCTATGAATCGACATAGCATTTTGTGGAATCCGTAAGGGCGAATTCGCCCTTACGGACTTATCTGAATTGTCGGCTGATTGCGACAAACAAAAATAGCCGCTCAAGTTATCCATCGATTTGCTTATTTAATTTGCTGTATCACCTCTGATGGTTGCATCGCTGAAGAGATTGCTACGCACTGCTGAGTCTCGTGTGGCTTTTCCAAGCCACTAGTAAAGTTGTTGTGATGTAGGCTTAATAGTTGGGGGATGAGTTTACAGCGCTGCCGACCAGGCGTTTAGCGTTTACCCGCTGTAGACATTAAGTAACTGACCATGTTTGATCGCCGATACCTACACAATCTCGCTCATGCATTGCGCGGGAATCGCATTAGTGATATCAGAGTTCGTCTTCGGATTTTCAGCACCACGTTCTCCGGTAAATCACCAAAGTGCTTGTTAAACATGAATCGCTTCCGTTGTCTCAATTGTGTTTCGCATGCCTACAGACTGTCTTCCTCAGGGAGTTCTGTTGGCTTCTGCTAAGTCTATTTGAGAGAAACCCCGATGCTACCAGATGAGTTTATAGATGCTATTCGAAGAGCAGAGTCGGGCTGGTGCACGTCATCTTGTCGGACGGGGACCACGGCATTGGACACCTTATCAGATGTGGCGCGGTCACAAAGCCACCGGTGCTTATGCTTTCGTTCCCTCTTCTCGGGATCTTGGTGATTTAATCCTGTTCATTCCTCGAGATACGACTATTACCGTCATCCTGATTATTTTTGTGACTCGTAAAGAAACTGGATCCACCGCACCCTTTCACAGGTCTCGTCATTGTTAAAACCAATCGAATTTCTAGCTTGCAGCATTTCAACGCCCACTTTATTTGTATCCAATACCTTACTCAGTTTGACTCGTGTTTGTCTGGAGATGAAATAACGCAATCAGTCTTCCCGCGGTAGTTGCATTGACATCTCTGTTCATAGAGAAATAGTGGTGAATTCATCCGTGCGCGATATACCTCGTTAGCAGAGTTTATTTCCAAACCTATGATAATTCTTCGGGACTTGTTAGGTATTTGCCTTTTTACTTGTAACAAAGTACTGTCCTATTCCCGTCATATTTAGCCAATTGACTCGGTCTGGTAGATATGAATAGCAGTTGGGGTTTAAGTGCAGTTATCTTACTACTTTAATTCTCAAACTTTTCATCCCCATATTTTTCTTTTCTGGCGGCGGACATGCTCCTTTTGGTCCACATGCTTCATCCAAGCCTTATAAGCACCACCATGGGGCTCCCATGGGTTCTTCGGCTTTTCCACAACCCCAAGGAACAATTGGTATGCCACCGAGTGGAGCAAATTACGCTCCGCCCTACCCCACTGCGCCTATGCAGCCAGGAACAGTGTCTGGAGCTCCAGGGTATCCAGGAGGTAATCCACCCTATGGCTCGTTTGGAATGCCAGGACAGTCTGCCCCGATGTCAGGAACAATGGGTATGCCCTATGGAGTACCACAGCAACCTGGAATGCCTCAGCCTGGCATGCCTGGTCCCCCTCATTAATTATGAGAACATCACGCTTGTGTAAGTCGTGAACTTTTGTGTGATCACACTCATAGGAGACGTGCTCTTTACTTTGTGCGCATTTGATCCCTTTTATCAGGCGATGGCATCGCAGCTTCCTTCTGTACTTGATCACGCTGCGCATGCGTTTTGACAGTACCTGTCGCTTTTAAATATTTTACTTATTGCGCTGTGATCACCCATTGGGATAACATATTTTGTGAGTGGGGCCTTTCCTGCAGTACTGATGGGTATAAACTTTAACCTGTAACTCGTTCCTCACCGGTTCCAATCCACATGGCTGCTGGTAACCTCTCAGTATTCGTCCCCAGTGCCTAGCAGCGAACCATCGGTGTTACGTTCAGACACACTGTTGACACCTTGACCTTTTGTCCTGCACGTCTTGTGTTAATTCGGTTGATCATGCACTGGTACTCGTTGCAGCAAACCAGTAAAAGCGACTGTGTCATCACCCTACTTTGAATGTCCGCTTCTCTTTACCTTATCTCATTTTAAACGCTTTCTAATGCTTGGCTTACGAGGCACTTGTTCGAAAATCATCACACCCTACTTTTCCCTTTACGCACATACCCTTGCTTCATTCCAGTGTCATCGTTAAACGATGTTGCAATGAAATCTTTTTCTTAACTTGCTCGACTCGTGGTCTTGAACAACCACCTTTTATTCGACAAACGCCGCCTTACTATTGTTTCTCATTCTTTTTCTTCCAGCCTCGTCGATGATGCCCCCCTCTCTCCTTCTTCAATTTGATTACCCATTAACTAAATCCTTAAATGGATATCTTGCACGAACCATTGTTTTCGATCATGTATCTTATTTTTGCACTTGGATTATTTTTGCTTTGTCACTAGATACATACAATTTTTTACTATTCACTGGTCATTCAGCTTGTTCCATCGAAGAGTCCTTTATCGTAAGCTTCTCGCTCCACTGATCTTCCAGTAATTGGTCATCCCTCGTCATCATCATCAATACACGTTATGCATGGGGAATGCGATCGGGATCAATAATTAATATTATATGAAGAATGGTGCTACAAAGCGCACCTCATGGCTTAAACTAGCTCATCTGTTAATTTTGACTCGAAACACGAATACTCTTTAACATTTGTGAACGCTTCATTTTAAGACCTTGCACATTATGTTAGTGAGATGGACAAAGCTTACATATTCCACTCTCAAACCTACGGACTATCATGTGATAGACTAGTAGGGTAAATAAAATCTCATGTAAAAATGTAAAGAGCTTTTTCGACCAGAAATAACATTGGCCTGTGTCTCGTATACATGTTCTGTTTCTTGAGGTGTGTCCCATCGTCTTTACCAACTTATCTGTTGCTGTGGAGGCAGCTACTTCGGTTGCACTAACCGAAGTCCAGGTGTCAGAACAAAGGAATATATCCCATACCGGTTACGCAGTCGCATTGGATCTGTGACGACAGAATAAATTGATTCGGGAAACCGAGCTACCTCAGCAGTCACCAGACATTTGCTGACTACTGATCACTGAGTCAGTCCTGTTGGGTCATGCACAGTCCTAATGCTCGATAAGCGACCACAAATTCTTAGGCTATTGGAGGTTGTTATTATCGATCGCGAGCGACCAGCGTTGTGCATTCGAAAACATCTGACAGGGGCTGTAAGTCTGCCGTGGTAGCCCATGCGGTTTGCCACCGTCGTTTGTTGATGTTCCAAGGTTGTACGCTATTGTGATTGATAAAAATGCACAAAATGAGGGCGTCATTACTCAATCTACGCCTTCTGAGTTTTGTGTTTGGAATCATAATAAGTAATACTTGTTTCAAAGAAATGAATGATGTATTTCTCGACCCTGCGAGATGCAGACAGATTTCGTTACCTGATCAATTTGTACAAGATAATCGAGTGGAGAATAAAACTGTGAGAAATTTTCAATGGTCCCAATGGAGAGCAAGTGGTGTTCTATCATGCAAAAGTATTAAGTAATAAAGCGTTGGAATTTAAGAAAAAGCATAGGCGTAACCGGCAGTTCAAGTAAAGTCATACCGTCACCTATGAAACCATCTCATAAAGACCTGCTTCCATGCGGGGTATTTCCTAGAAACTTTTCTTCCCCACTTCCACCTCTCACCTGGCATGTGCAAACTTGGTTTTACAACGATTAACTCTTCCTCATTTTGACTAGATTTTGGCTGTTTATCTATGTAAGTAGGGCCGATATCACATAAACCTTTATTCGCAGCTGTTATAAGCATTTGGGGCATTATCACGTTTAGCGTTTTATAGTCTATGTTAAATGTATGTGTGCCATCATCAAATTGGCAAGCTTTTTGGTACGGTTACCGGTTAGGGACTCCAGCCGTTGAGAATTCATGGTTTCAGAGAGGTTTGCGAAAGTCGGTTGATGTATTAACTGCATTAAACTGAGGATTTGTCTTCGAACCACGGGGTTTACCGCCTTGTTTCCAACTTCTGCTGTGTACCGAGGACATCCAGATTTGGCGTGGGAGTCAGGTGAATGTTGACCAGCATCTGCTTCAGTGTGACCTAGACACGGTACATCGGTGGTCAATCCAAAATCTGCTGCATTTCAAAGTGAGTAGAGACAAGCTACTGTCCACACAGCATCAGGTTCGGAACGCATGTACTGCAACAATCGTCCATCGAACGTGATCCGGGTGGGCTGTTTCAAAATGACTCAGGTTGCTCCAGGCATTTCGAAACGACCCCGCAGGCCGGAAACCAACACATTATGCTGTTGCGATGGGCGTTCGGAGAAATAGATATCATTATTTTTCGTCTTATACTCAATGTATAGGTTCGCCCCCATGTCGAATACGGAAACCAAGTCGGGCATCCACTGGGCACGCACTGGAGCAGCCTCAGCGTCGGGCATCCAAATACGTCATTTGAATGTGCATTGTCCCATACGAACAGAGATTGAAACGATTGGGGGTATTCAGGGTGCGATATCGCTGATTTCAAGGCGATTTGATGATGGAATAGTTGATTCTGCACGACCAACATCATGTTTGAGTTTCCTTACCGCACTCAGGCGTACTACCAATTTAAGTGATCCCTCATTGAAACTCGCCAAGCAGTATAACCGTTTGGAGTGCCGAAGAAATTTCTTATTCATTCGTGCATGTCACCAGTGGAATGGTTTCTGCACCGACAATAACATTATTTAAAGTCCGTTGCCTGACGCACTCATCCACGTGCACTTTGTTCCTTAACGCTATGTGAATAAAGCCGCAAGAAGAACACTGGCAGATGTCAACATTTCGTCTTGTTTCTTCCATGCAAAGTTTAATCGTGGCTTCTACCTTCTACAAAAGTGCAAATATATACGACGATAAGTAAGCTGAGACCGGAACAAGGTAGGGGGCAGGTGTGACACCCCTACGCCCAGGGTAGCCGTAGGCTTACAAACAACTGTTTCTGCACACAGAGTGCGGGTTTGATACGGCTGATCGCGACTGCCTCTGTGAACCTAGGAAACGTGCGTTAGCATGTCTGAACACGATTGTAAACTTTTTGGCGGGGTCCAACTGATGGCAGATGGCCAGCAAAGGTCTACCTGATGAGACGGTAGGAAATGTCGACATCTGCCAGTGTTCGTCTTCTTACGGTTTTATTCAAATTACTACAGGGAACTAATTGTTTCTAATTAACACTATGTCGGCATCCTACTACTATATTGCATTTGTTTACTGGTACATCTGACTGCTTTGCAAAAACACGAATTGCAGGACAACAGCGGAGCAAACGATAGGTCTCCCTTTTTAGACTTAACGTAAAAACTGTTTTATTATTATTTTTTCGGTAACCCCAGCAAACTACCCAACGAGACTTGTAAAACAAAGCGTCTAAACTCGTATACATTCATGATTCATTGAATGAAAGTGCATCTGATGTGTATCGATTTCCGCTTTTCATTGTTCGACCACACAAACTGATTCCACCTTGCTAAGCGAGTATGGTTTCTCACCTGTGACCTCAGCGTTACAAACATTCTCAAGGGATCTACTTGCGCGCTTTGTGGAAGCAGTGATAATTTACCACGTCTATTTCGGGAATCAATCTGTAGCGAATGTTAAAACTAGCACCATTTTAATCCTGGAATTGCTACATCTTATAATGACAGGGGTTTTCTTCGATTGACGCTTGGCTTTGATAGGCACTAGCATTTGGAGTTCGCTTTTATCGATCCACATACATACCAGTCACTCCAAAGAAGACATAACTTAATTACCGACGCCACAAAAGACGGCCCTGATACCCAGACACCCGGTGGCTGAGAGATTACCTGCAATCGCAAGGTCTCACTTGCGAACCTCAAGTTGGTTGTTACCGCATAAAGAAAGAAAAACGGTTAATGGGTACAATGCGGAGAACTGGACGCGATGTAAAAATCCCTGCTGATCTGTAATCTCGTTATTCGATACCACTGAGCCTGAGCTTATTGCTCCAAATGCTTTGGCGTTCCATATGTCAAGCACTAAACCGACACTTTGAAGCATTTGCGATCATTTTGTTAAAACAATTGCTCCGAAACGCCTGTCAACATTCACTCTTAGCAATCATGTGTTTACCTGCTTCCGACCGCGAGAACAAAGAGATTGCACAAGACATTAGCCGACAGGTGTATTTCAAGCTGGTTCACATAGTTGCTCTGTTCCGATTGCTGTCAAATGATTCATCACACGCTTTTTTGTTTTCACCGCGTGCTTCCACGTGACCGGATCATACGGTTTTCATCCGAGTGCAGCAAGCAAATCCACTGTGCTTTGCGTGTTCTCAGCCTCGGCTGTGGATAGCTTTCACTCTATTGCCATTTGTTCTCACTTGGTAAATTTGGGCTCATCATACGTTTCTGAGCTTGTGAGAAACGATGACATATTTAGCGAATGTTTTTGGGCCTTGAACCCCAAAATTCCAAACTGCACTCCAGTGCGAGGAAACGTTGTGGTCTAATTCAGCTCCACGAATAATTGTTGCTCACCACACCGAATTCACTAGAATTCAAGGACAAGTGTAGAATATTGTAAATAGCAAGCGCTTGTTAGGCTGGAGCTAACGCGGTCCAAACTGAATCAACACGGCAAATTGATGCTGGATAACCAATAAACAACAATCAGCGCTTCTAGCAGCACAAATAAGAATCAACAATTACGAAACACCAAGTACCCACCAGATATTATATATATATATATATATATATATATATATATATATATATATATATATATATATATATATATATATATATATATATATATATATCGCTGGCGGCATCCGGTTCCAGATTTGCTTGTCACTGCGGCCTCCACGAGGGCAGCCACAGAACGCCTGCACCTAAAGAAGGACCATTGGTGGCTTGCGCTGCACCACACACAGGTCTATCCACACACCCCATATCCAGTGTAAACCCGAAGGAACATGACTGCGGGGCATGTGAATCGTCGCCGCTTTTCGTCAATGAAGCCGGCCCATACTCCTTCACAGGCGAAAACAACCAGTTGTATTTGGGGAGTTAAGATCACACCAAGTGGTGGCTGGACCGCAGTCCGCACCACACTGAGTGCATGGAACCATTCCTCGACACTAGCATGTCCACGAGGACCTTGCACCCCGATTGTTCCAGCAACGACCAATGGTATTCTGGAGCCAGTATGGACGTGATCGTGGGTACTATTCAGAAAGGCACCTTGTCAACATACCCATCAAGCGCAGCCATAACGGGGATGTCAAGCAACAGCCGATCACATG